GTTCATCCAGCTCTACACCTTGTTATTACAGAGCTAGCTATGTTCTGTTCTCTTCAAAATAATTTTATCATATAGTATAGGTTTCATGTATTTCAAGTTGAATTTGTTTTACATCTTTCGAACTTTTGATTTCAGGCTCTTACTGACCTTGGCATTATTCCGGGACACGACACGACACCTGAAGCTGCTTTGGCCAAATTGTCCTATGTACTGGGCAAGACCGAACTTACTACACAGGAGAAGGAAAAGGTAATTTTGTTTCAGTTGCAAAATAATATCCTGGTGCTGTGCATAATGTTTTCTTTTTTTATTCACTTTAGATACAACATGATTTATTAAATGCATGGAAATGTATTTTTTCTTTAAGCAACTCATTTGTTTTTGCTAATCATTCATTGGGTGTGGTGGTAAAATGTAGTATTTATTGCCCATCCCTAATTTACTTTGAAAAGCTGGGGGTACATTACCTTTTTGAACTGCTGCCATCCATGTGGTAGGGACACCACAGTGGTCTTAGGGAGGAACTTCCAGGATTTTGACTCATCAACGGCAAATGAATGATGCATTTCTATGGGGAGAAACCTTTAAACACCCCGAAGCAGCCTGGGCAAATATCTGTAGAATTTGAGTGGGTAAAACAAAATAATTTGATTGTTAATGTAGACATTAAAGATAGAACTACATATGACACACTTAGGGAAGTAATTTTACAAGAAAAATTTAAAAATTCACTCCCTTCCTTAATGAAAATAAGCAAGGTAGCTGAGACTTATGTTACCTTTTGACAAAAAAAAATCAAGTAACTCACAGGCATTTTGCTTACTTCCCCTGCACTCTCAATACATGAGAAATATCCAGTTTTCTTTTGGCCTTCTCAACTGCTCAGCTGCTTTTTAACAAAGGAAAAAATGATTGTGTCCCTTTCATCAAATTGGCCTAATCTTGGTAATTCCTTGAAAATCATTCAGTGATAAACCTTCCATATGCAGAAAAGTCTTAGTAATTTCCAAATTCATTTTGATATAAAAATGCTCAAGAAATCTGGTGTATTTCTTGTTATCATTTTCTAATTATTCACATGCCAATTTGAATTTAACAATGCTATCAATTTTGGTTCTCAGGATTAGCCTTCCCTTTTATGTTATGACCAAGGCTGGAGGAATGCACTATTGTTGTAGTCCCATTATACCACAGTTCACAGCATAAAAATATTTTTTCTGGTTCCCAGTTGACCGATTAAATACGTTATTTGTATAAGGCTCTCAACCAAAAGATCAACCAAATTTCTTAACAAACACAATTGTGCGTCATTATCAAGACAAAACTTAATCAATAAAGATGCAATAATTCATTAACATACACAGTCAATAACATAGAAGAATAAGTACTCTTCAGAAAAAAGAGGATGAAAATATCATTCCCTTCGAAGATTGGCTTTCTGAAGAAAAAAAAATGCAATAGGCTATTCTAGAAGGCAAAAGGATAGAGCATAAGCAGTTGCAAAATCTGTTGCACTGATAATCTGGCACATATGGTCAAGTCACTTATCATGCATAGTTATCTGTAATCTTGCAACACAAAAAATTAGTCAGGTTTCACCCTGGACTAATTTAGAGGGTTTTGTTTTTGGAAATTGCCAAAATCAGCTGGGCAGTTCATTCATAGCAAGCTTTCCTCCAAGTCAACTTGTTATTAGTAGGTTGCCCTCCAACTGAACCAATAAAACCATCTGTCCAATGACCAGCGAGGTGAAGTCCCAGTGACTTGAAACTCTCTCTCTTTACAGCAAAGTACAGAAAAGCAAATACAGAAAACAAACCATCTTCGGCACGTACAGGAATGTTCACACACTTATTCAAGGTTATGCAGCTGTCGATTATCATCAACAATTTTAGCCCTTCAGCCCATCCTATACAATCCACCCTTGATGATATTTGACAGCGCATGTTACAATTGCAAACACAGATGCAAATCTGCAATAGATGCATAAGAACGTATAATAAGCATGTGTAACCTACACTAGAAAATTAAAACTACAATATAAATAACCATTATCAATCCTAATACTATAACAATCGGGTGTATCATCAAATGAATGATCACAGTGGCCTTTTGCATGAGATTAAGTACAGCAGCTGTCAACTGATGAATCATCCATCCATAATAAATTCACATGGTTCTGTGAAGAAATCATATCTTGTCAGACAATATTTGACAACTCAGTCTCCATTGTTAACTTCCCCCTGTCTATACATACTGGTACTTCCTGCCCCATTATCAATATCCAATAGATACCACCTCATCCACGGGCAAGTATCTCACTAGGCTTAGGCAGGTGTTGTGGGTGCCCACACTTTTCTCCCTGTACAAGGTTCATCAGATGTTGTAGGTTTATTGGGAGGATGTAACTGGCTACCTCCTTTAAACATTCTACTCATGGGGGTTCCTCCCTTCGAGGCCAGTTATTCAGATTATACAATGCCTGTGGCAGCACTTTGAGCCACGCCAGTAACGTATGATTTAGGGGTCAATAATTTAATTTGTTGTTTTAATAACACATTCATTCATTCGACAAGGCCAGCTACTTGAGGGTAATGAGGAATGTGGATCATCCAATGTATCCCATTGTCTGCAGCCCATTGGTGCACCTTTTGACCTGTAAAGTATAAGCCGTTATCTGATTGTATTTCTGATGGTTCACCATAGCAGGATCAACTGTTCCAAGCCCTTAACAATGTTACTCTGATTTGCTTTGGTTGTCAAGGAAAGCTAACATTAGCCCAGAGTAAGTGTCAACTATGGTTAAAAGATATTGATATCAATGTTGTAAGGGTAATGGGCCAACATAATCAATCTGCCAGATTTGAGCAGGTTGATCTCCTCGCTTGATTTGTGCCATTGGCTTTGTTGGCAGTGATACGTGTTTTGGCATATTTCACACCTGCCAATGATCCTTTTACCAGATCAGCGGGTAAGGAGAAACCTTGATCTCTTGCCTATTGGACAGTGTTGTGATACCCTAAGTGTCCTGATTTTTCTTGAGGCCATTTTCCAGTGTGATATTTTTCAGACGCATCTTCAACTGTTTTGGGTTCTACTATTCCATCTACGGTATTGTTGTGATTGGCAGATTCCAAACCATCCTTCATATGGACATCAACATGATGCACAGTAATTTTCATGTGCTGCGCCTTTGCCAATATTTGTTTCCATAGCTCTATTCCCCACAGGGGCTTTCCAGCAATTTTCCAGTCATGTGACTGTCAGGTTGGCATCCATACAGCCATTCTGTTGGCCACTGCCCACAAGTCAGTATAAATGTGCAGATGCTGACTCTGTTCTTCCAGTGCTCGGACCACAGCTGCTAATTCAGCATACTGGCTCGATCCCCCATCTCCTTCACTATGGATAATCATCTGTATGGAGGGATTAAACGCAGCTGCTCGCCACTGCCTTTGGCCATTCTTCCGGGTGGCTGATTTATCAGTGAACCAAACACAATGATAAGTATCTTCGGGCAGCTATGTGAATGGAACGTCCCATTGAACGGGAGGTGCATGTATGGCTGGGTTGGAACTTGGAGTTTGTTTACCTGATGTGTATTCAGCTTTTTATTCATGGTGTTTGGCAACCCATTCCCTTCCCTTCTTGGCTTGATCAGATTTGTACCATTTCCATTTTACAATGGACCTTGTGGGTCACAATGTCAGACAACACCCACGTCAGAATTGGTAATTCAGGTCAGAGGAGCACTTTGTCCTCACTCGTTTACTCCTCAGTTTCTACTAGGGCCAGTATCAGGCCAAAATTTGCTTTCCAGATGATGTGCATTGTATAGTGCCTCAGTCAGTTTTCTGGACCTTTCCCTTTTTTTCTCTGCCATAAGCTCCATGTCGCTGCATCTTGTACAACTCATACTTGTAATTCAAAGGGTAAACCTGGTATCTGAGGAGCCGGGGCAGCGCTACGACCTCTTTCGAGGCCATAAATACTTTCTGCTGTTCATTGTCCTATTCAAACTGAGCTTTCTTTCAAGTAATGGCATATAAAGGTCTTAGCAATGTGGTTAAGTGAGGTATATGTCTGCACCAATAAATTTCTGTGCCTCAGTCTTGCTCGATGGAACAACCATTTCTAGTATTTTATTCTTTACTTTTTCAGGGATGACTCTATCCCCTTTTGTCCACCGAATGCCTAAAAACTGCACTGATTGTGCTGTTCCTTGTATCTTCTTTGGGTTCACTTCCCTATCTCGCATATGTGGCTAGAGCTTCTGCCATCACGGTTTCCCTTTGTCTGCAGATCAAGGTGTCATCAATATAATGTGCTACGTGAATGTCCGGTGGCAATGGAATAATGATGGGTTCCAATTTTGCCTTGCCAACAGTAACCATCACAGCTCGTATACAAAAGAGAATTTGACCAGTGGGGTTTGCAAGGTAGTACCTCAAGTCCATACCGATAATATTTTCTGGTATTTTCTGATATCAATACCGGGACTACTCATGGAGGTCCATTCCCCAAGGCTATTCTAATATTTGTTCTAACTGTCAGTGTTACTGCCCCACCAAACACATTAATAGTCATTTTGAGCCCTACATGTCTATATGGATTGCCATGTTTCACGTAACTTCTGCCCCAGTATCTAGTAATGTGATAGCTCGTTGTAGATTGCCTTTCCTCCAATAAACGGTCATAGGGACATGAGGCCTTGGGTGTCCAGTCATCCTACCAAATGCCCTTACAAAGATGCCAGAGTCCCAGCCCCACCTCTAATCAATTGGCTGATTGGCTCATCACAACTGCCTGACCTCCTCAAGTAGGAGGATATCTGGGAAGTCCTAGTGTACAATGCCTCATCCTGGGAGTAGACGCAGTGGGGGCGGAGGATTTGAGAGCATGGGATAGCATTTTTACAGAAGGCTGGGTGAGACGAGGTGTAGTCAAGGTAATTGTGGGAGTCAGTAGGTTTTGAAATGGATATTAGTAGTGAGTTGGATGCCGGAAATGGAGACAGATAGGTCCAGGAAGGGGAGGAAGGTGTCAGAAATGGTCCAGGTGAATTTGAGGACACGGTAGAAGGTGTTGACAAAGTTAATGAACTTTGCCACACTGCTCCCAGAATGAGCCATTCTACTCGAGGACTTCCCAGATATTCTCCTACTTCAAGGACATCAGTTTCCCTTCCTTTGTTATTAAGGATGCCCTTGACACATCGCCTCCATTTCCTGCACTTCTGCCCTCAAACC